CAGTTTGGGGCGGACAACCCAGTTTCTTCAGAACAGTAAAAACTGACTGTATCAACATTTGTTTTTTCTTATTAATATGTTACTTGCTTTCAAAGTTTGTAAAAGCAATATTTAAGAAAATCCAATAAAATGAATGCACTAATAAAACTTTCAAATAGTTGCAACATAAAATAGCAAAGCACGTAAGTTATAACTTGATTTCTTGTGAAACATAAGGGGCTGACTGACAGGTTTCCAACTGCTTTACTTTACTGAAGTATCAAAAGATACAGTATGTTCATTTTGAAACGGATGGACTTGTCTTCTATGTCTGTTCGTGACCTTAAGTTCTTCTGATGTTTACCTTAGACGCATACAGAATTACAAGAAAAGCAAGATGATTCTTTTCATAGTGTTCCTTATTTATCTTACCTAAGTTCAAATCATTTCTAACAGAGGTTTTCTTTTAGGTGACAGCTGTTCCTGAGCTATTCCTAACTGCAGTGAAACTTAGCCATGAGGATACAGGAGCCAAATATTTACATGTGGCACGAGAAGACTCCAATAACCTATTCAGGTATCGTTGTCATGTATTGCTGCGATCAGCAGATAGAACTTATTAATCTGAGTGATGACAAATCATCACTGGTTATTAGGGGTGCCTAAAATGGGTCGTATTCGATTTGGATTTGGCCCAAGTCGGGGGCAGTGATTCAATTAGTTGATTTGGACCGATCTGCCCGATTCGGTTCTGCTGAATCTGAAGATTCAATGCTGATTTGGACAATCAGCGATTCGGCCATAGACACAGCTTTAAATGTTTTTTCTACACACCTCGAGGTACCAGGCGCGGCTCGTGAGTGCTGTGATGCTGGAGCATCCCACAGGGCTCAGCGGTAAACCTGGAAGTGGACCAGAATACTTCTGGTCCACTTCCAAGTCTGCTGCCGAGCACGCTGGGGGGCCCCCCTACGTACCCCGCTCGACGATCGGCCATGGCGAGACCCCGGGTGGCTCCCCCCGACCCAGGAGGCCAGGCACCAGTTGCCAGGGTGTGGGGGGGGCCCCCATGCTCTCCCTGGCAGACCTGGAAGTGGACCGGAAGTGCTTCTGGTCCACTTCCAGGTCTGCTGCCAAGCGTGTTGGGATCTCCCCTCCCGGGCTCCTGTGGGATGCTCCATCCACCCCAGGATCACAGCTTTCACGAGCCACGCCTGGTACCTTGAGGTATGTAGAAAAAACGTTTAAAGCTGTGTCTAGGTCTGAATCCTCAAATCTTTCTGAATCTCTCCGAATCAATTTGAAGGGCTCCAACTTTATTCGGAGAGGTTAAAGGGTCTCCTGATTCGATTCAGATTCAGCGATTTGGCCACCGAATTGGGCCGGATCTCCTTCGAGTCAAATAAGGGACCAAAGCTTTGCACAACCCTATTGGTTATGGTTTTTCTCAAGGTGGCAGAGAAAATAGCTCTGAGTTAAGAAGGTACCCATATATTGATGGAACTACTTTTCAGGGCATGCTGAATGTCATTCCCTGGCATTACAGTGTGTGGTAGTGTCTGGCGCATTTCACTGCTAAAGCTGGTGGCCTGCGCACTTGATTTGAGCCAGGGATTCTGCTGTGGATTCCTAGAGAAGTCAGTTGAGTTAATTCTTGTCAGGTCTATGTCCTAGCATGGTTCATAAATGTGGAGTTGATGTTGGCCAACTTTGCTGACAGCAGCCAAATCTTGAATTCATAAAGATGGCAGTTACAGGAGTCGCGCAGCTTTAATTTGGTTAAAAATAAAATACCTTTGTTTCACCATTTTTTTGTTTGTTTGTTCGTTTGTTTTTTTACAGAAGCTTCTGGCAACAAAGTTCCAGGGTTTTATTAGATCTTTGCTGAGGATAGTAGGTTTCAGCGTTGGCCATTTGGTTATTGGTTTTAGAGTCGGCCATTGGTTTTAGTGTCTGCCATTTCAGAATCTTCAGAAAATTTGTCACAAATTACAAGGTCCTTCAGATGGTTCCAGCATTATTGTATCTTGCTTTTAGATGTCCCTTATGCAGAGTCAAGGTTGGAAGGACCCTGACCTCTTCCATCTACGTATCAGTTCATGGTTTGCAAACATTAATTCAGCATGATAATAAAGACTGGTTTATTAAAACTTTCTTTCTAAGAACCTCAGCTTCATAAGATTTAAACCAAAATCTTATTTTTATCAAAACTTCATTTCCCCTTTGTTTTACAATTAGAAAAAAATGAGTTCAGTTTTTCAGCAAGGAAAATTTTAGAGGTTGTCTGTTCAAATCCCGTGAAAGTAACTTATTTTGGTATAGCTTCTGTTGATTTCTTACAGTTATAAATAAAATAATAATGAACCACTTTTCACTGGATTTAAAAGCATCTATATAAGGGATAGAAGGTTGCACTGATTTAACCTAGTCTATCTCCAAACTCATTTTGTTAAATTACAACCATTTTCACATGTAATCAAGGTTTAATTTGTACACCCCCCTCCATTTTAAAGTTAATAATAAGTATTAGAAGTGCACTTTACATCAGTCCGATATTGGATCGGTACCGATATAAAGAAAACTGGCAGCATTGGATATTGACCTGATGGGGCCGATAATTTGGCTGATAAATGCCCATGCTGCATGCAGCCACAACGCAGCACAGGCAGTGAGGAGCAGAGCTGGCAGTGTGGAGAGCTGCCTCCAGCTGGTAAATCCAGTGTGGTGGAAGGAGGGGGGAGGGAAGCATGGGGGGGGCAGATCAAGGCCCACCCCACAGTGAGGGGTGGGGGCAGAGGCATGGGCAGGTGCTGCCCAGGCAGGGCGAGGGGGCCAGAGCCACAGCTCGTGGTGGGGGGTATACACCCCCCAGATCTGTGTGGGGTGGAGCAGGCTGCAGCCAGGGCTGCACAGGGCTCTTCATGGCGGGCGCTGGCGGTGCTCAGAGGATGCTGCGCCAACCCCAGATTACACTGCCGCTCCACTCCCAGTGCCGCCGCCAGCTGACCCGCGCAGCCCGGCTCTTCCTGGTGTATGGGTGGAGGTGGGGTGTTAAGCCAGAGCTGTGCCAGGCAACTGGTGGTGGGAGCGCGGGGGGCAAAGAGGTGGTGAAATTTGGGGTGGATGCAGCATCCTCCCAGCGCTGCCGGGGCCTGCTCTGAGCCCAGCCCTTGCTGAGAAGAGCCCCATGCAGCCCCAGCTGCAGCCTGCCTCTGTGCAGATCCGGGGGCACACGGACTCCCCCCTTTCCTCCTGGGGTGCAAGCAGCAGTGGGAGCTGCAGGCCTCCCTGCCCCCCTCAGTGAGCCACAGCTTTGGCCTCCTGCACCTGGGCAGCGCCTGCCCCTGCCCACTCCCTCACTGTGTGGGGTGTTGATTTTGTCCCCCCATGCCCCTTCTCTCTCCCCTCCCCTTGCACCACACCAGACTTACCAGCTGGAGGCAGCTGTATCAGAAATCAGGTTGGTATGGGCCGATATGTCTCCTTTAATATCGGCTATCGGTATCAGCCCCAAAAGTATATCTGTGCACCCCTAATAAGCGTGACTTTGAGTTTTTTGAAGAGGAAATTACTTTATGATGTCACCATTATAGTAGTTTTATTGCCAACCTTTGATACAAGAGTTGTTCTGCGAGTTGCTTTTTAATCTCAGTATGTACATATGTACTGAAGAATTCCATATCTTACATATAACAAGTCTGTTCATTGTCAGGCCACTGATTTCATAGATTTCATAGACATCAGGGCTGGAAGGGATCTTGGAAGATCATCGGGTCTAGCTCCCTGCTCAAGCTACCTTAATGGTGAATGTAGTTGTTACCCTCTAGATAAAAATATATATATTGCACATGTCTCCTCGTTGCTCCAAAATTGAGACACCCCTTTAAGAGACTATACTGCCTTTTATATAAGGCTAAACTTAAAAAATAATAGTTGCACTGTCTTTTGGTCAGAAAATCATTATATTGTCTTTTTTTTTTTTAAGTGTGCAGTTTCGTACCACTCCAATGGACAGCACTGGCGTCCCACACATCCTTGAGCATACTGTTCTTTGTGGCTCCCAAAAATATCCCTGCAGAGATCCATTCTTTAAAATGTTAAACAGGTCACTGTCCACTTTCATGAATGCATTCACAGGTGAGGATAAGATAATGGATAGTATATAGTGTAATATTAATTATCCTTGCGATTTCCTGAAAAAAGTCCCTCATGGAATTGAAGATACTTGTTTTGACATATTAAAAATCTATGCATAACTCTGTGCAGACTTCATTGGTACACAGTGACTGAGGGATCCACTACATGGTATTACATTTTGCTAAAAAAACAAGTAAGCAGTTTAACAAACCATGGTAAAAATACTTTATTCATTTGACAAATATGGATTAGTTCTTACATATTTGTTGCTTCAACAGAACATTTACTCATATGCTATGGATATAAACAATGTTAGAGAAAAAGGGTCTTACTATATTATTAGAACTTTGCTGAGGGTTGAAGGAAAACTATCCCCTTAAACACCAAAAAATGGGTGCGTGAATAAGTAAGGCTCCATGTTTCAGCTAATTGTACAGACAGTAGAACTTAAAATTAAGAAAAGATGTATGCTATTGATTGCTAAAATGCTTTGCTCATTAATATTTATTTCATTTGTATGCAGCCAGTGATTATACGCTCTACCCTTTTTCCACACAAAATCCAAAGGATTTTCAGAATCTCCTGTCTGTGTATTTGGATGCTGCTTTCTTCCCATGTCTACGACAGCTAGATTTCTGGTAAGACTTTAGAATTCAATGTGCATGCAAATATGAAGTGTTAATCCAATACTTACTTTATATTTTTAATTTTTATAGGCAAGAAGGTTGGAGGCTAGAACATGAGAATCCATATGATCCTCAGACACCACTAGTCTTCAAAGGAGTTGTTTTTAATGAAATGAAGGGGGCATTTGTAAGTTCTGGATTTTTTTTTCCATTCTCATTTGGTAATTATAAAGTCCAGTATGAATAAAGAAAACAGTTAATCTGCAAATTATCTATTTGATTATTGCATTGAGTTTTAATAGCCCTACTCTCCTAAAGTTAATTTCACAGATACAACAATAATACTGGAGGTATGGTGAATAAGCTTATTTTTAAGGAGATTATGAAAAGTTTATTTATGCAAGCATAGTATCTTAGTGGTACATACTGAGTGCAGACCTGCAACACAGCTAATAGAAAGTAATTTGCCCTGGATTTTAATCCATAATAAACATGACATGACCAGCACTCCCAGGCTGCCTGTCTGTAGTTGGCATGATAGTGATCCCTTCCATTATGTGACTTGGCTTTCACTGAGCAGGTAACTTTCTTGGAACACAGTTCACTAGGGGACTGGACACACGCATTCTGGTAGGAACTTTCTCATGCAATGACATCGTCATGCATTGTTCAGCGGGCAACTCTAATCCATATTTGAGTGATTCACAAATTAACAAGACTGTGATCATGGGTCCACCCCACTTGTATTACGTAATCAAATCAGTTCACTATATAGGCATGTCACATCTTTACCCACTATTTCCTTTCTGTCCTTTTGAGCAAAAGTTGGAAATACAGGATTGCAGGACATGGCCAGTACAATATTGCAGTAACCACATATTCACAATTAGTATTAAGTCTCTAAGGCTACAAGCTTATATAAGGATGTTTGATAAAGGTTGTAAGATCAAGTTCTATCATTAAACTTCCACTGATTGCTCTACTAATTTGTCTTTTTTCCCCTTTAAGACAGACAATGAGAGAGTATTCTCACAACATCTACAGAATAAACTCCTTCCTGATCACACTTATGCTGTTATATCTGGTGGAGATCCCTTGAATATTCCTGATCTTACGTGGGAGCAGCTTAAACAGTTTCATGCCAGTCATTATCATCCAAGCAATGCTAGGTATTTTAAATTGTTGTTGTTGGCTTAAAATACTAACTCAGTGTATAATCTTTTTGCTTTATGGTAAGGGAAACAAATACCTATTTATTTCAAATGAGGCATTAGTGTTTTATGAAGTTGGCTAGGGAAAAATTTGTACAGACCTGAGGAAGGTGTATACACTTGGGGCTTTTAACTTGTGCATCATTCAAATCCAGCCCAACTTGGAAGTTAAAAAATAATTATTACAAACTGATGGCTCTTACCTCGCCTGTCTGACACAAGTTTCTAACACTAAGTGTTCACAGAGCTTAAACAGTAGTCTTGGTGTATTTGACAAAGTGGGTATAGAAGTTAGTGATTGGCTTGATATGGAGATTTTGGAGATGATCCCTTCAGATAAGAGATAAGGGGTGCAAATGAGGATTTGAACAGTATTGATTCTGCCTTCTTCTGTCTAAAATTTCTGGGTAAACAGAATTCAGTTGTGAAGGCTGTCAGTTCAGGGATCATTCATGGGAATCAGGTTAGCATTAAAAAACATTAATCTGCACCCTACTACGTTTGTGTGCATTTTCTTCATCTTTTTTGTAACATACAAATGCAGACTTTGGTCCTGCACTAGGATATCCATCCATAGACAGCTCCTGGTGCTTCTTTAAAACCCTAAATCAGTCCCTGGTGCTCCATGCAGGTGAAAGGGTCTGTCTTTATAGATCAACTTCAGGTTTGGACCAAAGCAATTTGGGGCAGTTGTCATTGTGAGGTGTTAATTAACCTTGCTACTTTTTCAAAATTTAGTATTGGGCATTTGGCTTCTTGGATTATGTTGGCAATGCGCACATGTATTTCTTTTGAAAGATAGTCTATTATTGTTTTTAGCCTCATTTGACTTCAGTTCATAACTGAAGTCAGAACTGTTGTCTTTAAATTTTATTTCTGTGGCAGAACTTTTTAGTGTAGTTTTTGGTAAATGTATTGGTCTTAAAATGCACTTTTACCTCTGTGTGTGTGTGTGTGTGTGTGTGTGTGTGTGTAACTAACTAAAATATACTACATTTAACTTCATATATGGGCTTTATTACTACTAAATCATGTATGAAGGCTAGAAAATATAATCCTGAATTTGTTTAAAATACAGGTTTTTCACTTATGGAAACTTCCCCTTGGAGCAACATTTAAAACAAATTCATGAGGAAGCATTGATTAAGTTTCAGAAAATTGAACCTAACACTGCTATTCCAAAACAGCAACTCTGGGATAAGCCTGTAAGTAAATAAATACTATGCGTCAGTGCTGTTCAAACTTTAAGCCCTGTGGGCTGGATGACTAATGGAGGACCAGTCTTAGATCAGGCCCTGCATCATATCCTTTTGGCCCTACATGCCCGAATCTGGGCCCCACACTGCCTCCACCCGGCTTGTGTGCACCTGGGTCGGCCCCATGCTGCACACCCCTATCAGGCCCTGCATTCCCGATATAACATGCAAGGCAATGCTATCCAGCCCATAGGGCTCCCCACAGGTCTGGAATTTTGACAGCTGGAGATTGGCCACCACTCCCCTGCCATCAACATTTTGGAACGGTGGAGAGCCTTATGGACCAGATGACACAGCCCTGTGGGCTGTGAGTTGAGCTATGTGCAGTCAGCCATTGCATTACAGTAACTTTGTATTAAGACTGGCCCCAGTCCCTTTCAATTTACAGTTGCATGTGAATGGTTTTAAAAACCGTGTATTTTGTCAAGTTATAAAAATGTTCCTATTTTTTTAGCCTTAAGACAGATTTCCACAGTCAACTGCTAGGACCTGCTTATTATATGTTTAGGTTCCCATGCTCTTTAACATCTTGAAGGTTAACAAGTTAACTAGAGTCTTGATTAAGCACTCAGTACATAGGATTGCTAGTTGAGATCCTCAGGTTTATTTCTAACTCAGTAAGAATCTTGATCTATTCTTTGAAACAGCAAGTCCTGAATAGTCTTTCACCCAATCCTACTTGCATATTGCTTGATCCTTTCTTTCTCTGTTCCCTCACCTATTTAAAAAAAAAAAAAAAAAAGTGCTTACCTCAGGCAGGCAAGAATAAACAAGTATAGGGCAATCCGAGTCTCATCTGGGATGGTTTTTAACTCTTAGTTTGCATGGGGTTGCTGAATTAAAAACGACCTGTTTGGCTGATTGGTTTACTTCGAAAGGTGCTGCTTCTCTTCTCAAACATAGCTGCAGTCCTACACAGCTCATTGGAGAAGCAGTGCCATTTCAAATAAAGGGCACTGCCAACTGGCAACACTTAAGTGGTTTTGCACAGCTGTTTGTTACAGCTGTCAAACTTTGGGCTAGCTCATAAACCATTATCTGAGTAGGGGAAGGTAATCCTGGTTCTACTGTGGTATATTCATGAGTTTAGAAAATGTTAAATGAGTTACTTTGTAAAGTGCTTTGAAATCCTTGGAAAGAAGATGCTGTAGAAATGCAAATGATCATTCACTACTATTGTTTGTGTGATCTGTTTTAAATAGCCTTACTCTGATTTTTGTTATACTTGACAGAGAGAACATCATGTGACATGTGGCTTAGATTCATTTGCTTCAGATCCTACTAAGCAGACAACTGTCAGTGTCAGCTGCTTGTTGTCAGAGTAAGTGTATCAAAAAGGAAATTCTAGAGTGAAGAATCATGTTAAACTTGGATTTTCGTGACAGTTCTATTTCATGCCCATTAATGATCTCCATTTCCCAGTTGACAAAACATCCCAATTAAACTATTACTCATCAAAAGAATTTAGTATCAGTAATTGATGTATTTTTAGCTGCTTTCTGCATAGCGGGTGGAATTAAAGGAGGACATGCATCTGTGACAGTGTTTTGTGTAAACCATTGGCTTACTATTTTTCAGCTAGTGTTGGCCTTGTGCAAACTTTTTGATAGTCTTGGGGTTACACAGATGTATTTTGGGCCTAATTCGTCCAGCAAAAAACCTTTAGCTGCTGGTAATGATGCACAGGATGACGAGAACTCAATGGGGACATCTGTGCCAAGGCTGAGGAAGCAGAACTGGAAATAATGATCCTGCCAACCCTGTTCCCCATCAAAATTCCCAATAGCAATGAATATTACATCAGCTGTCATTGAACTACAAGAAACACAGTGCCTCACAGCACTGTTTCAGAGAGAACCACACTTTTACATTCTTAGAAAACATTTTTATTTCTTTAGCATTACAGATACTTTTGAAAACTTTACCTTAAACCTGCTGTCTTCCTTGTTGGTTGGTGGACCTAATTCTCCCTTTTATAAAGCCTTAATAGAGGCCAACATTGGTACAGATTTTTCTCCTGATGTTGGGTAAGTGTTACAATTCACTGTACATCACAATTTAATAAACAGTTTCTGTAATATTAGTATTGTTATAAAATTACTCTTGGGCAAAATTAACTCTTATATAAATAATTTATTTGAAAACTATAACACAGATCTTCTGCTGTATTCTGTTTACTACAAAGAAACAGTGAAATACCTTAAAAGGGACATTATAGATAGGCAAGATGAACATGGGCCGACAGTGTGGGGACGCGGTCAGGAAGGCCAACCACACTTTGTCATGCATCCACAGATGCATCTTGAGCAGCTCCAAGGAGGTGATCCTCCCCCTCTATGCGACACTGGTCAGGCCGCAGTACTGCGTCCAGTTCTGGGCGCTGCACTTCAGAAGAGATGTGGACAGCATTGAGAGGGTCCAGAGGAGGGCCACCTGCATGATCGGGGGCAGCAGGGCAGGCCCTACGAGGAGAGGCTAAGGGACCTGAACCTGTTCAGCCTCCACAAGAGAAGGCTGAGGGGGGGATCTAGTGGCCTGTTACAAACTAGTCAGAGGGGACCAGCAGGCATTGGGGGAGTCCCTGTTCCCCCGAGCACTACCAGGAGTGACTAGAAATAATGGTCACAAGCTGGCAGAGGGTAGATTCAGACTAGACATCAGGAGGCACTATTTCACTGTCAGGGCGGCTGGGATCTGGAATGAACTTCCAAGCAAAGTGGTGCTGGCTCCTACCCTGGGGGTCTTTAAGAGGAGGTTAGACAAACACCTCGCTGGGGTCGTTTGAGCCGAGTACTTTTTCCTGCCATGGCAGGGGGTCGGAGTTGATGATCTCCTCAGGTCCCTTCCGACCCTACCAACTATGAAACTATGAAGATAGTCAGAGACTATTGTGTTAAGTTACAGTAATGTTCTGACTTGTAGTGATATAATTCCCCCTCCCCTCCCAAGTGTTTTCTATTTTATACTTTGCAGCAAGTAGGCAGGAATCTCTTGTTCAATATCTGAAACTACTTTATCTAAAAGTGTAGCCACACGTAGCCTTTTCAAGGCCGTGCACTAAGAGAGGCTGGGGCGGGAGCCTGGCATGGGCTCCGCCAGCTCCGGGGAAGTGCTCCTCTCCCCCGCATCAGGGCCGGGGAGCAGAGCACTTCCCTGAAGCTGGCAGAGCCTGTGCTAGCCCTCCCACGCCAGCCTCCTGCCCTCAGCCCCCTTCGGTAAGCGTCCCATGCCGAATCGAGGCGGTGCTCTCACAGACTGCTGCTCCTTAGAGGGAACGTTGATAATGTCCCTCCCTTCTGTTTGCAAAAAGTCATTTAAGAAGAGCCTGAACTAATGAGAGAGGCTTTGTTTTCCTGATGGGTTGATAAGCTTTATATTTTGATAAGCTCCCTGCTGGCTTGCTTAGCAGTGTGAGAAATGACTGGCTTGCAAATGAATGCAGTGCCTGTCAATTTGATGCAGACAGTATGAAGAAGCAGGGAGAGGGAGATTGATAAGCTAAGTATCATCAACAGATGAATGCAGTCCTCCCTTCCCCCACCCCACCCCTGCCACCCTTTGCCTCAGACTCTGGGCTGGATGCTGGGGGCTGGCAACACTCCTGCTGCTTGAGCAGTGAGGGGGTGGGGAGCCTGGCAAGGCTGCTTTCCCTTCCCCCTCCAGGCACACTCCTGCTGGGGACTATGTAGGCCAGGGTGGGGATTTAAACCCCTCCCTAATCATAGCCTCCTGCCAGGGCCTAGCCATGACCGCTGCCTCAGCTCAGCATGAGAAATATAAGGGAGGGCTCACTCTAGCACCCCCCAGTTTCTAGCCTGAACCACTGCAGGCAAGTGCCTGCATTGCCTGAATCAAAAGTGAATGTTTATCCACTTGCAAATTAGTTAAGTCTTTGCAGGTTAGACTTTTTGTATTCATGAACTAGTTAATACTGAGCTTGTAGTACCTGCAGCTGGAATAAATGTGTTTTATTCTAGGTTTAATGGCTACACAAAAGAAGCTTACTTCAGCGTGGGTCTGCAAGGAATTGCTGAGAGAGACATTGAAACTGTCAAACAAATTATTGCTAGAACAATTGATGATGTTATTGAGTGAGTAATGTTAAATTCTGCCAGATATTGAAGGATTCCTTTAGCCCAAATTATTATTAGTAGGTGCTGTTGAAAAATATACTTTTAGCATAAATTTATGGGAACTGCAATGAGGTAGAGGTCTGCTGTAGTTCAGTACTCTTAACAGATCTTACCCCACATGTCTCTCCCACCTTGAATACTTTTCTTAAATACTTACCCTATTAATAGTGTGCTGATCACAATAACCTTCAGAGGTTACAATTATTAGTGCTATTTCACTAAATGACTAGAATTAAATTTGGAAGATTCTCATACTGTCATTTTTCCAGCTTCATTGATGATGATTGGTGTTTAATGGGTATAATATTTTATTTTCTTTTTGCCTGAAGGAAAGGTTTTGAGGAAGATAAGATTGAAGCTCTGCTTCACAAAATTGAAATCCAGCTGAAGCATCAGTCTACTAGTTTTGGGCTTTCCTTGACATCAGTAAGTTCTTTTTTTCTGAGTAAATAAAATATCTATGTCCATCAGAGTCTGCATACTTGGGGGCTTCATTTTCCAGAATTTCTCTTGCAAAAGTCCACTGAAATATCTTCCTTTTTTCATCTTTGTTTTTATGCTTTTCTTCTGTCCTTCCCCAGGGATAGCCCTAAAAGTCTGTTGGTATTGTAATGTCTAACTTAGGGGCCAGTCCTATTTTCTGTGTGTGAGTAGCTCTGCTGATGTCAGTGGGATTGCTTGCTTCAATAATGAATACTTTTATGGGAGGTGGGTGCTGAAATTGTAGGCTTGGGGAAGGGCCTTATACATTTGTAAAACTTCTTGCACTCTTGATGTAAATAATAATGAGTATTGGTCCCATGCTGGAGCTGTGCTGCTATTTTTAGAAATCATAGATAACACAAAAATGTGTACCTGCTCATTCTTAAAGGAAGGATATAAACTTTAGTAAACAACTTAATTTTGGTAGAAGATTTAGGAGAACATTTTCCCTTTGTTTATTTTACATCCATTTTAATGCAATTTGATTCAGTTCTTGACCTGTTTATTCCCCCAGTAAACAAAAACTTTTAACAAAAACCTTGCTAGTACTTGTACTGCATGGATTGATTGACGGCTTTCACAGAGGTTACAAGGAGTAACCCCATCTACTCAAGCCCTAATAAGGTGTGTGTGTGCATCCCTGTCTGACAGAAACAAACAAAACGGACTCAGGAGGCTTTTGTGTATGATCTCTTATCTTTAACAATAGTCCATATTGTATTTTGTAATGAAACACCATGATTTCCTTCGGCTAAAAAAGTCAGGAATATTTGGAACCTGATCTCTCATAGCACTGGTGGATCTATTTGTCTTTTTCCATGCCCTTTATCCTGGTCAGGCTAAAATTCTTATACTTTTAAAAGTGATGGTTTTGGCAAAGAGTGGGGAAGAACATACCAATTGCCCTCACAAAATGTGTATAAAACTTGTAGTGGCAAGTCGTCTTTGGGCAGAATAAAATTGCACTTTTCCTTTAATTAAAAAAAATTATATCACTTATACTTCATAATACAAATCGAACATGAGTGTTTAGTGCATTACAGAAGTAGTGAAATAAGCAATGATTGAGTTGTGCAATATGCATACCAATTCTTAAGTGTGCAATTAAATGTCACATTGATCTACTTTATCTTAATGAAAAGTACATAGCCTCCTGTTGGAATCACGATGGGGAACCTCTAGAACTTCTGAAGGTTGCAGAGAAAGTGTCTCAGTTCAGACAGTGCTTGAAGGAAAATCCAGCATTTCTTCAAGAAAAAGTTAAACGGTATTTTAAGGTAAGAGACTAGAGGAGAAAACTTAACTTAATTTGTGCTGATTATACCTCTTTGTTATGGTATGGTTGTGGCCATTTCTAGGCATTTTGATTTTTTCAGAACTGAAACACCCATTTTTGGAGGTAGCTTAATATCACTGTAATTTCATGACCTTTAAAATTAAGATGGCTCTAAACTGAGGCTCCAGTCTCGTCCCGTCCCCCCCCCCTCCCCCCCATATTAAAGTCCTGGGATGAATGCTGGTGACCAAGGTGCCACATACCATCTTTAGTAAGTTGGACGTGTCTCTCCTTGAACATTCTGTGGGTTCCCCATGCTGTTTTCCTCTACTTACTGAAACTGAATGAATTTAGCCAGAAGATTTAAGTCTGGTGTTTAATTCCTTTTCTTTTCTATTTTCCTCTGTTTCCAAGCCCCACGTTGTTTCAGTTTTTATATATAATATTGTAGAGGCCTTTAAAACATCTGGGGTGCTCTTTAACACATTGAATTGTGAAACCTTGCATAAACTAACCAGTGGTCGTGTCTGCACGAGACAATGACTACACAGTAACTGGAGTTACTGCACGGTAGCGTCGCCAAATGGCATTTAGGTCACTGCAGATCTTATTTCACAGTAAGAAAATGTTCTTCAGATGGTCACAAGCAGTGAGAGACAGAGAAATTAGCTGAAAACTGTTTTCCAGAGAGTAACTGGTAAAGGTTCCTGAATAGTATTTGGTTTTCGTACAGAAGGAGTGCAATATGATTATTGGAATATCCTTTAGAGCACAGTTCTCATGAGTTTAAAAGAGAGAAATCAGATCTTCAAAATAGAAAGTCATGATGATGATACTCCCAGAACAGGCATTCTTGTATCTGAAGTTTCTCATCACAGTGTTTACTTTGTGTATGTAATAATAGTTTCCTAAGAAATAATGTTGCCAGTCACAGGAAAATCAGTCCGTTTTTCTTGGTGTTTGTGAGTTTTACCCAGCACAGCAGGAGAGAGAGAAACACATACAATAGGAAAATGCAGTTACCAGGCCCTGAATATGGGTAGTAGGTCTTGGAAGTGGAAACTATTTTGAGTCCATATTTTGAAACAAGCAATATTCAGGTAGTTTTCCTTTCAGAGCCTTTCAGTATTGTAAAAGCTGGAAGCTGTTTGAATAATTCTGTAATTAAAATGCCACAGTATAAAATGGAGCCGCAAGTTTATAATAAGGGGGCATTTAATAGCAGCGCTTCAAAAGTAGAACTCTTGGAGCGAATGACACCTCTGAGGCAGTATTTTGGGGGTCTGTACAAAGATGCTTGCATCTTTGACATCACTTGGAGCTTAGCACCACCTGTGATCTGCACCTGTGATCTCACCTGATTGCTCTTGAGCCAATCAGTCAGATTGTGGGAGGTGTCTGGAAAAAGGCTGCAGGATCTAATTAGACTGGCAGTTAATCTTAGATGCAGCTTCCAGAATGTTTGCCTCTGTGGCCTGGTGACTGTCTTACATAGTCAGTGGTCTCGTTTATATTGATTTAATTAGGCCAATGGCCAGGTTGACATTGAGGGATTGTTTGTGTTTGTAGATGGTTGTTCATGCTGGTTCTTGTAGCTGCCTGCATTTTTTTCCTACCCCTTGAGTATTCAAAAAGCTCTCTTTAAATGCAAAATTCTGCCTAAGTTGCTTCTATATAATACTTTCATAATGATCTGAAACCACAGTAATGCATGCAATTTAGTTATGGCAGTAACCAAAGATCTAGGTAGCTCAAAAAAAAAAAAGGGAGGAAGTCTTCCTTAAGCTTAATAACATTTTGTTCTGGGGATGTATTTCTGCAGGATAATCCACATAGGTTAACTCTTTCAATGAGTCCAGATGAAGCCTATTATGACAAACAAGCCAAAACTGAAGCAGAAAAACTGAAGCAAAAAGTCAACGCTCTTTCTGAAGAACAGAAGAAACAAATATATGAGAAAGGTTGGGATCTTTTGAGACTCTCAGTTTTAGTTGCTGCTTAAAAAATGCAGCCAGTTGTTTAGTTGGTCACTTGCAGAGTATTGTAAATACTTTGTATACCTGAAACCCACCAACATTTATTAATCTGTTAATTTAGGAAAATATGGTAAATTTTATGTAATTGGATTTAAGGATAATCAATATGGGACTCGCTCCCATCCTGGATTCTAAGGGCTTTTAAGGGCAAGCAAAGAGACCTCTGCTAGGCTTCTTGAGAACAAGCTGCTTCATTACATTTTCAGTTCCTTTTGCTTCCTGAAAGCCCCTTCATAGTATGAAGTGACTGAAGCTTGTAGTGCTGCAGTTGTTGTTTATAATCTACTCCAACCTGCTCCAGGCAGGTTGGAAAATATTCATAGAGAAAGAGGCAAAAAAATTATAGAGGGATAGTGAGATATTGTTGCAGAATAGACAGGAGTCTCTGGGACTGGGAGGAAAAAATTGATCTCTTTTTTTTCTAGGAGTCAGATAAGCTTGTCTGCATATTAAAGTAAGCATGAGGGTTATTGGGCAGCCACAATCCAGGGGCTAATAAAACTTAACGTTTTCAAAACGAACTGGAAAATTTAGTTCTACAACATTGTGTATGAACTGTGTGGACTGAGGGCGATACTTCACTTCTCACTTGGAGATCTTTGTTGCCCGTGTATTGTCCCATGGAGCTTACTAATGGCGGCCAGATCTTTCCAATTGAATTCTGCTTAGTGGGTGACCAGTAAAGTTTCAAGCACCGAATCTCATACTGTTGTAAGAAAAGTTAAAGAAAGGAGCTGTTTGCTCTGTTTATGACTACCGTCCTGGATTTTCCATGGTGAAGATCTGAAATAAGCATTTTATTCAAATAGAGTAAATAATTTGAGAAGGCTATTGAGGGTGGGAGATGTCACACTTGCTTGCTACTATAATGGTCTTTACTTTACTTGTAAAACGAATAGGTTTCAGTAGGATGTAGGCAAAATGATAAATATATATTGTCATCAATATTCTACTTTCTTCATTAGGGCTGGAATTAATTGCACTTCAAAGCAAACCTCAGGATACTTCCTGTCTCCCAGCTCTAAAAGTGTCTGACATTGAGCCCACGATCCCATTAACTAAGTTGGAAACAGCATTTGCAGGTTAGTGCAACTCAAGTCTTTTGTAAAAATAAGGAACAGCTCAACTTATTTGGTGGGGCATTAGTGGGAAATGAAGAGGATTGTTTATGCATCTGGGAGTATTATGGTTTAGAGTGGAGGCTTTTTTCATATGTGCCAAAGTACAGGTTGTTCTGGTAAGTTGCCTGCAACACTTGGAATGAATGAATAAGTAGGGAAATGTTTCCTGCTTTTTCAAGACTTGTCTGCAAATTACATTTCTTCCATCCCAGTGGATTCACCTACATTTTTCTATAGTTTTACCAGAATCTTGAAAATATTAGGCTGCAGAGGATTTTCAGTGGGAGCCTTCCAGCAATACAGTAGCCTTCAAGCTGTCATGAAGACTAGAACTACAAAGTGTCTTGGATTCTAAATGTCCTGGTTCTGCCAAAAGTCAGAGTAAAAAAGACAAAGCATTCAGCTAGGTAGAAAGAACTGAAAGCACCAGATCGAATAGAAAGGGGTAGAGAGAAGAATACATTTCCTTTTGTATCCACTTGCTGGCACATGACTATAATTGTTCAGTTCCAAATTTTACAGAAAATAGTACAGCATTGCATTGATCATCCAATGACTTATACAGAATTCCAAAAGGTAGTTGTTTCTCTTCTGAAAATTTAAAAAGATTGCCTTCAGAATGTAAATGAGACCAATATGCAGTTGGGATCAATGTGCAATTTAGTCAGCATGAATTGTAGCACTTTGCTTTAATTCCAGCTATTTTTGTGTAGCATCAGCAGAATGTATTATAAAGAGCTGTACACCGTCTGCTTCAAAAAGGTAAAAGGACTGCAGTTCTGCTCCCAGAGGAGTGCCTCAGAGAAGCTGGCTATTAGTAGGGAGATATGTTGTGCTAAGCTCAGAAATGTTAAAGATGATCCAAGTTGTGCCACTCTTTGAACACTGCTGGCTTTTTTAACTTGCATAATTGTACTATGTCTGTTTCTTGGTGAGCATACAAAATTGTTTACTGTAGATCCTGCACCCATGCTTTTGGCTCCTGTATTCTCAAGTTTTATTGGTTTATAGCAATAGTTTCCACCCCTACCTTTCTCTCCCAGTGTAGAGATAGTGAGGACATGAAGGGACAATGGCTTCCATTGCCTTTTAAGAAATGATTTACCCTGCCATTATTTGAATGCTTCCTTCTAAAATTGTAATAGTTAGTTAATGATCTTTCTGAGGTTAGTTCTGATAACTGATAATAATTTTATCTAGACTAGAAAACTTTCATCCAGGATTTGGTTTAATATCTTTGGTGAATACAGGAAGCAGCCTCAAATTATCTTTGCAATATCAAAAGTTAGTTCTAAAAAGTTACTGTTTTGTTAGATCTGTAAGTTAATTTTCAGAGATTTTGTGTCTGCAAAATGAGGTGCAGTTTTCTTTGTCTTTTTATTCATAGCTGATGAAGTCCCTGTCCAGTACTGTGCACAGCCAACCAATGGGGTGGTCTATTTCCGAGCTGTTTCCAGCCTGAATACACTTCCAGAGGAACTCAAACCATATGTGCCACTCTTCTGCAATGTCATTACTAAGTAAGATATTTGCTGCATTTGAAACACCTTGAGAAGATGGGTTACACTATACTGAAATAGCTAATATTGATGGACAACAGAACAGTTCTAATTTCTGCTAACTTCAGAAATTATTACCATCAATAGACCGCTGACATCCATCAGCAGTTCTCATAGACTGCCACGGATATTTATTATTCAGCTTTATTTGAAAAGAGGGGTGTTGCAGTTGCATGCCACTTATCATGCACTGGGTTTAGTGTATGATAAGTGCACATAATCGCTACACCCTCCCATCACAACACCACTCATATAATATAATTGTTTTGTTTAGAGGTATGTATCGTTCACTACATTATTTCACCAGTGTATTGATGATTATCTTAATCTAGATGTTTTATCTGCCTGTGCCCTTAGCTGGCAAGCTAGTAATCATTTTTATATATCAACTACACTTTAATATACCCTTTTGCATTTCATAAATGTGTTTTAATTGAACGTCTCTATTTGCTAGATTTTTTTGAAATCTGGTGTTTTATTAATAATATTTGTACACTTCCTTCATAAAGTTCTAGATCACTTGCCTTGGAGGTTAAATTATGTTCATATTAGGCAAAATGGAGCACTGCTTTCTAGGGTATCCTCTGGCTTTACCATGTGACTGAAACTAGAAATATATTTTATTTATTTTTCCCAGAATGGGATGTGGAGCCCTTGATTACAGAGAACAAGCCCAGCAAATAGAGCTGAAAACTGGAAGGATGTCCGTTAGCCCACATATCATTCCAGATGATTCACACCTGGATGTATATGAGCAGGTACATCATACAAACATTGCAACAATATGTACCGTTGTATTACAGTGTCAGCGGTGTAGTTTAGGATGAATCTAGGTTTCCACATAAAATAGATACTTGGGACAGAATCCTATATTGCTTTATGCCTCTTAATGGCACTGTGGCAAAATTAGAATCCCTCTTCATTTGCACATGCTGAAAATAAAATGGTGGAGGGTGAGGCACCTCTTGTGTTTTATTCCAATAGCCTAGTGTTTAGGGGTCCTACTTATCCTAGTTCCTGTCTAGACCACCCATTGCCTGAAGAGGATTTCAACCTGCATCTCCTGTTTTCCAGCAAAATTCCTCTAAGTGATAAGCTAGGTATTATCTAGGTCCCTCCAGGCCTTGCCTTAAGGATAATGTTGGACACAGTTATCTAGCTTAAAAGAACATCTATTTTTTCAGCTGAATCTCTTACCATGGTGAATAAATGCCTTAAGAAGTCCCCCCAAAAAAATGTATCGTTTCCAGAAAAAGTATTGTTGGGGTGGGCCTCTTCTGTGTTTAATATATGTACAGCACAGTGTGAATACAGAGTTAGGAAATACTTGACAACGTGAAGATTGTTAGTGCTAGGACTGGTCCCTACAGCCCAGTTCAAGATTTTTCTTAATGTCACCCTGTTCTGCTCTTCTCCTTTTCTCTCCGTTCATACTGCATGCAGGGGTGTATTTCCCTTGGTGTGTAGAGATTGGGTTAGGTACTCTCCTTTGACCAGTTCAAGCCCTTCTGTCTATCTTTTCCGCATCCAGCTACCCTCCAAACACACTCTAGGTAAGATGAGCTGCCCTAGAGCCCCCTTCCCTGCATCTTGCTGGAACATGGGTCTGGGTTTGCCCTCTAGTAGGGAAGTTGGAGCTTTGTAACTACGTCTCATGTCTGACTTGCCCAGTTAGTAGTGGACTCCATAATGAGACATCTCTTTAATTGTAGTTCTGTGATGTGGACTCTTAGGGCAACACCCCAACGCTACTGTCAGACAGGATTATTACACATTCTTCAGGTCATTGCTTTAGATGTGCTCTGTTGGTTTGTCCTGTGTATGAAGTCTTTTTTTCATTTTTTCCTTTAGGGTGTGCTCTTTTCATCTCTGTGCTTGGATAGAAATCTGCCAGACATGATGCATTTATGGAGTGAAATATTTAACAAGTACAGTGTATT